GCACTTTTGGACCCTCGCTTTAAACTCCTTTTGTTTATGTCAAAATCTTTAAAAAAATAGTGCCTTCGAATTACTTAAAACCGAATATGAAGAATCATGGACTCTATATGGAATTGAAGAAAATAATAATGCTCAAATTTAGTCAAATTCTTTATTGGCGTCAATGTTCCATAAAAGATGTCCACAGCAGGAGGTTTCAGATTATCTTGGAGCTCAAGAAATTTCATGGGATCTATGTCCGTTAAGCTGGTGGCACACTAATCAACAATGGTTTCCTGTATTGAGTAAATTAGCCTGAAAATATTTGACTATTCCAGCGACTTTGACTTCGAGTAAAAGGCTCTTTAGTAATGCTAAAAATAAGATAACAGCAAAAAGAACTGCACTTTTATCTAATACTTTTGAGCACTTAGTATTTTTAAAAAATAATTAGCGGATTACTGAAAGTGTATTTCCTAATACAAAAAGATAATAAAACCTAATGTATATCAAGCATTTTTTGTCTTGTTTTCTGTTATCTTCAAATAAAGCTCAATTATAACTAACAAAATTGTAAGTATTCTTTATCAAGTGTACAGATTAGCTATAATAGTAAGAGTTTTTGAATGGTTTTATGTAATAGTGAAAGTAAAAATTTGATTATTAAGCTTATAAGATAAATTACAATCATAATGATTGCGTAATCAGATTATAAAGTAAGTATTAATTATAGAATTTAGAGAAGTGATATTCACACAAATTATCTCATATTTACATAATTAACTAATTTTTTTTTTTACTTACATGCAAATGCAGAATTAAGTCTTAAGTAAGTATCCTTATCACAGTTATCAAGTGTATGGATTAGCTATAATAGTAAGAGTCTTTGAATAGTTTTATGAATAGTGAAAGTAAGAATTTGATTATTAAGCTTATAAGATAAATTATAATTATAATAGTTGTGTAATCGGATTATAAAGTAAGTATCAATTATAGAATTTAGAGAAGCGATATTCGCACAAATTATCTCAGATTTATGTAATTAACTAATTTTTTTTTACTTACATGCAAATTCAGAATTAAGTTTTAAGTAAGTATCCTTATTACAGTTATTCCCTGTACATTATTTAGGGTGTATATTTCAACTAAATAGAATTATTTTAATACTTACATTTTAGTAAGTGATATATATTTAAATTAACGACACTATAGAACTTTTCATTCCCACTCTATCATACAGTACCCAGTATTAGTGTTGCTAAATTACTTAAAAAAGATCGTAAATAATCTTTTAAATGACCCAAATGATGATTACAAATTTGACAACATCTGTAAGCATAGCTATTTGATAATATTTAAATATGCCCTTATTGGAAATTTTTGTAAGTTTTTAAAGATTTTGATTAAATGGATTACAATGCAGAGTATGTGCTAACTTTTGTAATGGTAATATTTTTGCAAAACGAGTATACCAACTTTATTGTAAACATTATTATCCAAATGTCACTCACTAAAAATAATTATAATTGCGTGAAATAGTAAAATAAAAAAATTAATATTTACTTGTTCAAGCATGATGACTATATTCTGTTTAAATAATATGATTAAGTAATGATTGGATTTGCATCAACTGTAGTTTTACAATACATCTATATTAATAGTTGCAATACTCAAAAGGAGCAGGAAATAATGCTAAAAGAAATTAGAAAAGCAATTATTAGAGAGCTTAATTTATAAGTTAAAATTAATTGTTATTTGATTATGAGTAGACAAGTTCAATAAATAGTTTTTGCCGTTAAATAGTAATGTATAATACTTTAAATTTGTATGTATATACAGACAGTATTTGTTGAATTTAAGTTAATTCGGTAGTGTGAATACTTAGAACTTTTCCTATTTTAGCATAATTAAGCATTAATCGTAGTTAGTGTATAAAGCAGCATGTATATTAAACATGAGGCCAACATGAAAACGTGATGCCTCTGATGTAATGTGCTTATTCATATTAATTTTAAAATATATAAAAGCGAAGCATCTGTTTTAATGAATTGTTAGTAATGCCATATAAACATCTTTAGGTTATCCGGTTTATCTAGATATTTGTGGAATTGTCTAGATATCTGTGGGTTACCCGGTTGAGTACAAGGTTTATTTAGTTAATTACAAATTAAATTTTAAGAATTACCTGGATATAGCTTTATAGAATGGATGTAATTATTTGGTTAAATAGATATCCGGTTCTGACCTCTAACCACCCTACCATCATGTCAAATACCTCCAACCAGATATCCAAAAACCACCCAGATATAATCAGGTGATCGAATACCTGCCTTTGCCTGTGACCTATCGAGTTACTCTCATCAACCGGGCACTCGGATATTTAATTAAAATCAGTATTCATACAAGAAATTATATAGTTTAGTATACGCTTTTAATAAGCTATGAAATAAGTTATAATTTAATCTACTTTTTTCAAAAAATTGAGAGCTTCTCTAGAGCCCATTAATGCAACTATGCAGAACCAATATTGATATTAGTGTGGGGATTCGGGTCTACAGCTGTTTTTATAATTTCTGTAATACTAAAAAAATTGCTGATAATCAAATTAATAAGTTTTTGTGTTCAGCTGAAGCTGGTAACTTATTGATTCTGACTAAGTAACTTATCAATTCAGTTATCTGCAATTTTTTCGGTGTTTTAGAAATTATGAAATAGCTGTAATGTTTAAATTCAAATTTACTTTGCTAGGGTAGATAATTAGTTGTCATATGTATAATGGAACCGTAAAATTTTAGATATAAAATTTTTACAATAAATCTAAAATTTCAAGTATCAATTCAAATTTTCTAAATTGAATTAATTTATCTGTAGCCGTACTATCAATATAGTTTTTTTATTAAAAAATTTTGTAGCTATATTTCTTTAGAGTTAGAGTTAGAATTAAGGTTAGGTTAGAGTTAGGATAGGGTTAGAATTTAGAGTTAAATTAGGGTAAAATTGCAGAAGTATTTTTACTTATTTATAAAACAAGGTTACCTTAGTAAAATTTTGAGTTATTGTAGAATTATTGAATACGGCTACATGTAGCCTCAGCTACAAATAAATTAATCCTATTTAATATATACAGAATTTATACTTATTATATATAAAAAATAATAAAATATATATAATTTAAATCATTAATAGAAGTTTTTATATAAAATTCCATATCAAGTAATGCAGAATTCGCCTTCAATTCCGTATATTGCATACGGAATTTCATGCATACAGATTTCATACGGAAAAATTTTAGTATTAATTTAAGATAATTTCAGTATATATTTTTTTCATAGGGGTTAAAGAGAAAGTTAAAAGAACATAGTTAGTGGTTGTAAACCAGCAAAAAAAAAAGCAAAAAATTTTTTGAACGTTACTTAATAATTTGAATGAAAAAGGAAATTGAAGAACAATTGGTGTCATTGGTTGAAAATGCGATAAAAGTAGTAATTGAAAATCTTGAAAAACTTGAGAATAGTGCAAATGAAATGATAATGTTATAGATCATGCTTGTGTTATATATTCAACGCCCAGGATATTTGGCTCGATTATATCTATTGTAAATACAACCTAAGAATATAATAAAGAAAAAAAGATCATTACAAGTAAAGGAAATGGGATACAAATCAGAATGGAAAAGTTTAAGATATAAGAATTCTGGAAGAAAACAATAAAGGTATTGCTGGACATTATTACTATCAGTTTTGGGAGAGTGGAGAGCTATGGGCCAAATTAGCTCTAATAGTAAACAAGGGAAGACATTAGTACAAGCAATAATGTGATGGCAACACAAAAGATTAGCACTGCAGGGTTTAAGAATATACAGTTAGACAATTCCAAAATAGTAATTGTCTGATAAATTGGGTAATTAGAATGGGTTAACAATAACAAATTGAACAAATTAGGTTATAATGATCAATCAAATATATGCACAATGTGTTTTGAGTGTATGTGCTATATACTTTAAATAATGATGAGCAGAAAATAATACTAGTTTATTAAATATAACAAATATATAAGAAATAATTGTAAACAAAGAAATCAATAAGAAACAAATAAATAAATAAAAAAGATAACTGATAAATAACTGATAAATAAGAAAACTAGATAAAATTCAAACAATCAATAAAACTAAGTAATAAATAAGAAATTGAATCTATCTAAATTGAAATCTGAAGACATCTTTGTGGATGAACATAATGCCTATAAATACATGTTTCCTATTATAATAATCATCATAATACACATTTTAACCCCAGTATCACTTCATTTTTCTACTACTTATTTTATGAAAAAAGAACTATCACAAGCTTATCGAAGGAGAAAATATTTTATCTATGGTTATGCGATAAGATTGTCACGATAGAGCAATATGATCAGCCAAAAACGCAGATAACCCAGCCAGGCACCAGAGATGCAATGCAAAATTAACCTACACTAACAATATTGTTACAGGATAGAGCAAATGAGAAATCTTGAAGAGACAAAAGCCTATAATGTCAATATTAAAAATGCAAAACATAAAAAGTTTATTCATTATCAAATCTGATAATATAAGTAATTTTGATGAAATATCCAATAGTGATTGTTGTATTGTCATTAAAATAGAATTGGAATTGATAAAAATGAACATAAAAGCATCCAAATATTAAAAAAAAACATTGTAAAAGTGAACCAAATAATCTTGGATATTGTTATTTAAATGGTATAGTTAAGCATAAAAGAAGGCATTCAAAATGGGACACAAAATCTGTTGAAGCATGTGGTGAAGTCATTATGAAAACAGAACCGTTAATGAAAAGGCTGCAAAAAAATGCTAATAGGATGAATGGGTTTAGATGTTATAATAAAGGAAAGGTAACAGATATAAGACATTTACGTATTATCCAAAATCTGTTGATGTGGATTCTACTAATGAAGGACAATACTGTCTTGAATTGTGTTATCAAAATACAGAAAAGATAGCACTTATGTGGTATTTAAAAATGCCAAAAAGTGATATGGGAAATGCTAGTGGAATGAACTGTGCTAAATGTAATGAAAAGAGAAGTGGTGTTGAATCGACAAATATTGAAGGCAAAGTTGCAGATAGTAAAGCTGAAAGTGATGCTAATAATATTGCTAATTCATATAAAATCTTATATCTAGGTGAATACATTTCTGATATCAGTGTGTTTAATGCTGACGATATAGAAGGAGGAGTTTTATCTTGAAGTACGTTCACAGCATACTAGAGATAAATTAGCAGAAAAGTGTGTCTGGCTTAGCTGATGAAGACAAAAGACACCTGTTAGACTATATCTGGTTCTAGTTCAACAGCAACCATCTCAGCAGCTCTTTTTGACATTTTTATTTAACGGTATTTATTTTTATGTGATGACTTTTAATAGAAATGATTATTTATTTAAAGAGACATATTTGAATTTTATAAGAGGTAGTGAAAATTTTTTAGTATAGTCAAAAATATTTTAGCATTGTGAAAATATTTTAGCATTGTGAAAATATTTTAGCATAGTGAAAATATTTTAGTATAGCAATAATATTTTTAATATGTCAAAAATTTTTAGTATATTGAATATTTTTAGTATATTAAATATTTTAGTACATTATAAATATTTATTATTTTAGTATGTCAAAAAATATTTAAAGCATTT